CACACTCGGACTGTTATCCTCATCTTCATTGACATATTCACAACGTTTCGTGCGTTGTACGCTCCCAAAAACTCATACAGAGATGTCCTCAAGGACACATGGGCCAGTGGATAAAGACGTTGGTTAGATCCAGTGACTAGATCCAAAGAGTTGTGATTTCAATACCAGGCTACTGTAGTGGTGAAAAAACAAAACAAACAAAAACCAAAAACGATATACGAGTTGTGCCTGAAAAGTAACGGGACTGGTATCACAATTAATTTCAATTCCAACCAACAGACTACATGGTTTCCGTCTACATATCTGAGATGAGGTATTACGATTATTTGCATTATTGGGACTGTTATCCTCATCTTCATTGCCATATTCACAAGGTTTCGGCCTCTATATCTCTGAGATGATGTATTATGATTATTTGCATTATTCGGACTGTTATCCTCATCTTCATTGCCATATTCACAACGTTTCGGCCTCTATATCTCTGAGATGAGGTATTATGATTATTTGCATTATTGGGACTGTTATCCTCATCTTCATTGCCATATTCACAACGTTTCGGCCTCTATATCTCTGAGATGATGTATTATGATTATTTGCATTATTCGGACTGTTATCCTCATCTTCATTGCCATATTCACAACGTTTCGGCCTCTATATCTCTGAGATGAGGTATTATGATTATTTGCATTATTGGGACTTATCCTCATCTTCATTGCCATATTCACAACGTTTCGGCCTCTATATCTCTGAGATGAGGTATTATGATTATTTACATTATTGGGACTTATCCTCATCTTCATTGACATATTCACAACGTTTCGTGCGTTGTACTCTCCCAAAAACTCATACAGAGATGTCCTCAAGGACACATGGGCCAGTGGATAAATACGTTAATTAGATCCAGTAACTAGACCCAATGAGTTGTGAGTTCAATACCAGGCCACATCAGTGGTGAACAAAAAAAAAATAAACTTGGAGAGTTGAACACCTGGAAGAGGCATGGCGTGTAGAACTAGAACAATCTACCCCGGTGAACGAAATAAGTGTTCGAAATTCCAGTCACCTGAAGAAGGCCATGAAAGTATATGGTTTCCCTTTCAAAGTCACCCCCCCAAGTCTAATGCTCTGTTCCACCCTTCTGTGCCACGCTTCTAGGAACTGCTGGAAGAATTCTTCTTGGATGGCCCTCAGCTCCGTCGATAAACCCCATCCTTGATGGCCTCCGCGTTTTCAAAACGGGTCCCCTTGATGATCCATTTGTGCTTGGACAAAAGAAAAAACATCACACACAGCAAGATCAAGCGAATAAGGAGACTGTTCCAGTACGGCGATGTTCTCGGCCAGGAACTGACGGATGCTCAGGGCGTTGTGGGCAGTTGCATTGTTGCGGTGAAGCAGTCGCGATTTGGCCCTGCCACAGAAGCGTGTGAAAAAAGAAATAATATGGTCACAGAAAGCTAAGATTACAGTTATATACTCCCAAGACATCATGTTAGATGATAACACTATCCACTTCTCCCTCTTTCGCGCACAACTCACACAGCACACCCAGTTCCAGACAAACCTCGTATTTAATGAGCGTTTATTAAGGACTAGCAGTAGAGCCCGGCGTTGCCCGAGGATGTAACAGTAAGAGATAGATCAAGTATCGACCATCATAAAGACTGAAAAATAAAATTGACAAAGATTATTGTTTAAGGTTGATGGACACGCATGTCTTAATTAGTTTTTTTGTTTTTTTTTACGAATTGGTCAAACCCAAACTCAAACAAAAACATTGTTTTCAATCGTTATGAGTCTACCGATTGAATAGAATTTTTCAATTTTATTACAAACAATTGTCTTGTAAATGGAATTTTTAAAGCATTCTGAATGTAAAAATAAAGAAAAAAGTGTGCAAGACTATAAGAAACACTACTTGCTAAAACAAACGTGAAGTTTTGTTGAAATCGGTTGAAAAATGTAGGAAATCCGATCCCATATGTAAACGAACACACACACACACACACACACACACACACACACACACACACACACACACACACACACACAACCTGGGTTTTATAATAAGTATAACTCGATATGAGTTGTCCCCCTTTCATTCACGAAACATATTAATCGTGTTTTAAAATTTATTTCGTGCAAAAACAATTGTGTTTTTCCAATTTTTGGCACTGTCAGAACCACCGCAAGGTAATTTTACGTAGTCCTGTGAAGTTTTGTTGAAATCGGTTGAAAAATGTAGGAAATCCGATCCAATATATAAACGAACAGACACACACACACACAACCTAGGTTTTATAATAAGTATGATATGTTTGCTATTACAACTGGTACCCGAAGGCGGGTATTAAATATGCCTCAACCATTATAAATGGGGAACTAAAATTGAAGGAAAAAACACCAGTAATAGAACAGGACACATGGCACAGTGGATAAAGGCGTTGGTTAGATCCAGTGACAGGACACAAAGAGTGTGAGTTCAATACCCGGTTAAGGCAGTGGAGAACTTTCAGAGGGAAATTAACAGGAGATAACTGATAACTGACATCCATTAGACATGGCATGTGGAACTAGAACAGTCTAACCCAGTGAGCGAAATAAAGGGTTCAGTTCGACATTCCAACCACCTGAAGAAGGCCGGAGCGTACAACGGCCGAAACGTTGTAATAAATATGGCGACAAAGATGAGGACAATAGTCTGAATAATGTAAATAGTGTACATAATACCTCATCTCAGAAATATAGACAGATACTGAAAGGCCGAAACGTTGTAATAAATATGGCGCCAAAGATGAGGACAATAGTCCGAATAATGTAAATAGTGTACATAATACCTCATCTCAGAAATATAGACAGATACTGAAAGGCCGAAACGTTGTAATAAATATGGCGACAAAGATGAGGACAATAGTCCGAATAATGTAAATAGTGTACATAATACCTCATCTCAGAAATATAGACAGATACTGAAAGGCCGAAACGTTGTAATAAATATGGCGCCAAAGATGAGGACAATAGTCTGAATAATGTAAATAGTGTACATAATACCTCATCTCAGAAATATAGACAGATACTGAAAGGCCGAAACGTTGTAATAAATATGGCGACAAAGATGAGGACAATAGTCTGAATAATGTAAATAGTGTACATAATACCTCATCCCAGAAATATAGACAGATACTGAAAGGCCGAAACGTTGTAATAAATATGGCGCCAAAGATGAGGACAATAGTCTGAATAATGTAAATAGTGTACATAATACCTCATCTCAGAAATATAGACAGATACTGAAAGGCCGAAACGTTGTAATAAATATGGCGACAAAGATGAGGACAATAGTCCGAATAATGTAAATAGTGTACATAATACCTCATCTCAGAAATATAGACAGATACTGAAAGGCCGAAACATTGTAATAAATATGGCGCCAAAGATGAGGACAATAGTCTGAATAATGTAAATAGTGTACATAATACCTCATCTCAGAAATATAGACAGATACTGAAAGGCCGAAACGTTGTAATAAATATGGCGACAAAGATGAGGACAATAGTCCGAATAATGTAAATAGTGTACATAATACCTCATCTCAGAAATATAGACAGATACTGAAAGGCCGAAACGTTGTAATAAATATGGCGACAAAGATGAGGACAATAGTCCGAATAATGTAAATAGTGTACATAATACCTCATCCCAGAAATATAGACAGATACTGAAAGGCCGAAACGTTGTAATAAATATGGCGCCAAAGATGATGACAATAGTCTGAATAATGTAAATAGTGTACATAATACCTCATCTCAGAAATATAGACAGATACTGAAAGGCCGAAACGTTGTAATAAATATGGCGCCAAAGATGAGGACAATAGTCCGAATAATGTAAATAGTGTACATAATACCTCATCCCAGAAATATAGACAGATACTGAAAGGTCGAAACGTTGTAATAAATATGGCGCCAAAGATGAGGACAATAGTCTGAATAATGTAAATAGTGTACATAATACCTCATCTCAGAAATATAGACAGATACTGAAAGGCCGAAACGTTGTAATAAATATGGCGCTAAAGATGAGGACAATAGTCTGAATAATGTAAATAGTTTACATAATACCTCATCTCAGAAATATAGACAGATACTGAAAGGCCGAAACGTTGTAATAAATATGGCGACAAAGATGAGGACAATAGTCCGAATAATGTAAATAGTGTACATAATACCTCATCTCAGAAATATAGACAGATACTGAAAGGCCGAAACGTTGTAATAAATATGGCGACAAAGATGAGGACAATAGTCTGAATAATGTAAATAGTGTATATAATACCTCATCTCAGAAATATAGACAGATACTGAAAGGCCGAAACGTTGTAATAAATATGGCGACAAAGATGAGGACAATAGTCCGAATAATGTAAATAGTGTACATAATACCTCATCTCAGAAATATAGACAGATACTGAAAGGCCGAAACGTTGTAATAAATATGGCGACAAAGATGAGGACAATAGTCCGAATAATGTAAATAGTGTACACAATACCTCATCTCAGAGATATAGACATATACTGAAAGGCCGAAACGTTGTAATAAATATGGCGACAAAGATGAGGACAATAGTCCGAATAATGTAAATAGTGTACATAATACCTCATCTCAGAAATATAGACAGATTATAGAACAGAATATAATAAAAAAATATAAAAATGTAAAGTTGTCAGGACGGAGAAGAAGTCTCTTATATCCGGTTTCTCTTATATCCGGGGTTTGGTCTATTATATATACATTACTACACAGGCTCTAATTTGGGACCATCCGGGGTTCTTATATCCGGGTTAGAATGTATGTAAAAGTTTAAACATTGATTCTTTTTATTGGATGAAAAATAGAATTTAAAATTTTTGATTGGATTAATAAATCTATTTTTAACGGATTTATGAACCCTTTGTGGGTTATTTAAAGCCGAAATGTATTTCGGATTGTATGCGGTTTATTACAGTGTCCAATATTCGCACGAGCTCACCTCCCCCATTTAACTACTGACCGAGCTCGACAAGTCTTAACTTCGGTGATCGAACGAAAACCAGTGTTTTCAGCGAGATTTGACCGGAAACTGGAATATGCGTGAAACGAGACAGTCTTAAGGAAAATAGAAACGACAAGAAATCTTATACTGGTCATCGGAAAGAGAGAGCTGAAATTTTCTGGGATATATAATGAGGAAAGAAAAACTGGCGAATCGATGGCAGAACAAAGACAATGAAGGGTGTCAACAGTGTCAAAAGTTACTTTGAGCAACAAAAATCAGGAAGTTGTGGAGGACCATGATCGGCCATGTTCTGAAGAGATATTCTGCCACTTCTTTCATGCGCTATAAGGACAAAGAGTGATGGTAAAGTGTCAAAAGTTATTTAAACCAACAAAAATAGGAAGTTGTGGAGAGCCTTGATCGCCTACGTTCTGTTACTGTATCGTGAGCTTGATTCTTCTTGGGTGCACCACACTTGCAGCCTTGTGCCAAACTAATCCTAGTAAATATAAAACACTTTGCAATGGAACAATAGTTAGCAGAAGATCCACGCAAGCAGAAATGTCCCAAGAACTGTTACTTTGTAGAATAGACTCCCGCGTTGATGCTTCCCTGATAACTACAATTTTAACCTCCTCAGGTCAAGGGTCAGTCGTTTTATATCCTTCTTATCCTCGTAATCTTCTTTTCCTACCACCTTTTCTTTCATTTATATCACGCACTATAACCATTTAAACAATAACTCCGAGTAACAGTAACTTTGAATAGCTGGTAAGCTTTGAATTTGCTGTGGGTCTGTTGTTACGGAATGACTCACATTTGTTTCCTTGTGCCGATTTGAACCTAGTTTAGTGGTTATCAACTCAACCTCCTTTAAAGTAATGGTTAACAAGCTAGTTTTGCAGGCTCCTGTTACGACTGTAACAAATCTGATCTTCACTGGGCGCGTTAAATTTGTGATCTCGTGCTAGATTGGAGTGAGCTTATGAAATGTCAAGGCACCTGATTTCGAAATATTGGTTTCAAATTATAAGTGGGGTCGGAAGTTTTCTTCATGTGTGTTCTACAAAGAAAAGAGTACTAAACAGTTACGTGATATCTCTCTTCCCGAATAGCAGGGAATGCTGGACAGTTTCCTCAAAGATGAAGAAGAGACTTGAAGCAACAGGAATGTAGTTCTACACAAAGATGCCGAGGATAGTATGAACCGAACATATGAGAAACGACGGGGTTTCCGAGAGAATGGAAAGATGAAACTTCTACTGATGAGGAAAGGGGGTTTGGAAAATATGATACTCACGAGTCAGAGAGAGGGGAAGTAGGACAGAGGAAAGCAGCGCGTGAGATACTAAATCGATGGTAGAACAGTTGGAGAAATAAGAGAAACAAAACTTATTAAGAGCTACAAAGGACAGGAGAAAGTTGAGGCCATGATCGCCTACATCCTGAACAGACACGGCACACGCCACTAAAAGAAGACATGGTCGTAGTTACTGGTTAATAATATTGTAAGGAAAACACTTGTACAAAAGATTAGTGAAGAAATGGTTTAATCACATGAAGGATATAGATTAATAATACAATAATAGTGAATACTGCTCAAACCAGACACCAGGCTCGTTGCCAAGGTTCAACTTATTCCAATCAAACACTTATGGCTTAAAAATAACTATTCGGCCAGATCGTCAAACACGAATTAAAACCATGAGACTTTTGGAGCAGTAAGCAACTTTTATTTTCTGGTCGTAACCTACTGTTACAGATACGAGTCAACGCTACGCCTTCCGACTCACTTTGCGACACTGTTCCTACGAACGGACATCCTACACATCGTGAGTGAGCGTGTCTATATTCAACAATTAGGGAAAGTCGACAGTCTTTCTACGCAACAATATGTGAAATTTATAAACGGTGTGCTTTTAATACGTGTCGGAAAATTTTCTCGAAAAAACAAAACAAAAAAAAACAAACAATCCACACTTCTATTATTAGCCACCTAAAATTACGTGACACATTCCAGACAATGCCAAAATAGGCTTTACACCAAATATCACACCAGACCATCAAGGGAACCAGGGTTGACCTGATGGAAAACCTCCTAGCCGGTTGGTAAATATCCACGATTCGCCCAATGTCAGTAGCTCCCCCGACACGTGATCGACTCAGCTGGAATATCAACACGAGGGGGGAAAAACAAATGACAGAGAAATATATAAGAGAGAGGCATCAAGAGGTCACATACACCCATACGACGATACTGTAGGGCAGTAATTCTCAACTGCTGTGCCGTGACACATGCCGGGTAGGGTTTATCATCTCTCAGTTGCATATCTGTCTTCGGGGGACAAATAATATTTTGAGGCTGGTCCAGCCGTTTTTGCCCGAGGCTGTCCTCTTTTTCCCTAGAGTGGGATCGGTGCAATAACCGAGGCCAGCGCAACCGGGGACAGTTTTTTTATTCGGAAATGGTTTGAATCCTAAATTTCTTTAAAGAGGGACAATAAACTTTGACCTTGTTTCACATCACGTCTCAGTATAAAGACGAGATACTTAATCAGGCATATCTATGCGTGTTTAAAAAATAGCAATGGTACAAGTGTTCCTCTTAGAAGCGAGATACATCGCTTAGGCGATCATGTATCTTTCGATATATGACTAAATAAAGATTTTTTCTGCAGTAGGTTGCCATTTATTTTTTGCTAAGGCTAAAGAAACATTCTTTCTATTTACCCATAGCTTGAACAAGGAAGAAGAGGAATTTCATACCTTTCCCAAGGGTATTATGACGTAATATTTATAATGGATTCAAGGAATTAAAACTGTTAATCCGATTCCTCATTCCAAGATTTCTATTTTAATAAATGAAAATATATTAAAATTTATTTTTTCAAATAATTATTTTCACTATTCTTCAATTCTTGAAAAAATTTTTCCCCCCCAGTCTTGACTTTTTTGTATCTTTGAAAATCCGAATACAGAAGAATAAATATTTTGCTTCTATTTGTTTCATAATCCAAAAGTTTTTACAAGTATGGCGGCCATTTCTCCTCTCCAAGATTCTATGAATTATGTTCTTTTAAATACTTTTGTTGCAATAATTCATTTTTTTTTTTTAAATTTTTTTATTTTTTTTTCGCCTTTTATTTATCTTTCCTTTATTTGAATAAACAAATATTAATTTTTTTTCATATAATTTATTCAAATTTCTTTGTTTAACAAAATCTAAGGTTTTAAATAATATGTAAATGTATACTTATTTAAAAAATATTTGCTAGGTGTGCCGTGACATTTTCATTTGTTGAATTTTTTTTGGGTTTGCTTAAAAGGTTGCTGCTTTAGGGTCTATGATTATGGGATCAAAAGTACTCTCCAATCCTTGTTGGAAAAATGTGTGCCCTAAAGACAGACTAGGATAAAGATGTTGGATCACATTCCATGATAGTATCTTGGTCAAGAAATTGAACTTTTCAGCCGATCCCTTACTTTTGGATAGGATCCCGAAACTACAAACAGGCCGATTGTATTTGGCGAAAAGTTGTGATTTATTCTCGTGTTTTCACTCGTAAAGGAAGACGATAATATTTCGATGTTATTAGGTGCTGCACACTTCAAAATTATTCGTCCTGGGTACGATAAATATATTGCACCAAAGCCTATTGATCGTGAAATTGGAGGGTTTATAATTGAACGTTTAACCATATTTTAATTATTGTGGCTCCCAAGTCAACTCTGGCCCGGAGTGGTAGCATTTTCGGGGTTCCATCTATAGGCAATAGTGAAACCCCAAACAAAATAAAACATTATAACAGTATAAAAATAGATTTTTATAGTGTTGAAATTTGACTAATGCATGGAATAATAATGCAACACAAAATGTACTTAGAACAACATGTATTGAAACAAGAAAGTGTACACAATATTTACTTATAGTCTTTTGTATATTCCTGGTAAGACCGTTCCTGGAGAATGTGTTGACTGAGTCGCAGTCGGGCAGAGTCTCGGGTTGAATCTCTTGATTCCTCCCTCTCTTCCCGGTACCAACCATATTTATATGGTCGGTACTCCACTATGCAAATTAGGTGGATCCTACCACAACATATAGTAAAAATACCAGCATTACCATTTTCTAGGAGAATTACCAAAATACATTTAACTATAGTTGAAGGCATACAATTGACTCCAAAATATAGTTAGTTGAGGCCATTAAAATGTGTGTAAAATATTTAGATTTAAATAACGCATAGAATTTGATATGCCGCTAAACAAAATCAACTAACCAGCTCATAGCCTTGTGTCAAGCTAAGCTACACATAATTTTTGTGTGAATTTATCGGATGAGGAAGTTATCAGTATTTACATATTGAGTGGCTCGGACTGAGGAATCAGAGAGCCGAGTTCGTCGCCATCCAGACGAATCCATTACATTCAACAGTTATTTAATACCTTGGGAAAGGTATGAATCATCCATCCATCCAAATATCTCTCTCTCTTATATTTAATCTTTTCTCTCTCCCAGCTATGGGTAAATTCCCCAGGAAAGACTGGGTTCCTTAGACTTGGATAAATTATCAGTTAGGATAAAGTAACTCTGAATTCAAAAACTGTATGTAGCCCTGGCGTAGCACGTACTATACAACTAAAGAATTTCCATTGGGAAACGTATGAATAACCAAGACGAGGCCTACTACCTATTGTACACCAACGAAGCAACCTTTCACTCCCCCTGTTATCCTTTTTTTTTTCTTATGTGTCCAGGTTTAACTTATGCTTCGTCTTTCAACTACTTCTGTTTTAGTTGGACTCATCTATATTTTCTGTCTCTTAGAGTTAAAAAGCATTGCTTTTTTCTATCTTAATTAGGAACATATTATACAACTAAAGAAAGGATCGTTCGCATTGGATCAATATCCCGACTTTTATCGAATGATGAAGACTATCTGCATTCAGACTAATATCCTCATCTTTGTTTATGATGACAGAACTGAGTCTGAGGCGGGTGTGGGGAAGATAAACCTTATTAAGACACACTAATGAGTTCGAATTCCAGTCGGATCCATTACATTCACTTACGTGTTAATACCC